GGTGTTACAGGCATGCACCCTGCACAGTACATGGCCACAACTGCAACCTGAACCGAAGTCTGTATTAACCACAGTGACGCAATAGACCTTGTTTACAGAAACAAGGTCTGGTCTGCACACTTCATGGCAGCGCATGTATGCACTTCAGCAAGGGCTTGGATTGATATGCAGAAGGATGGCAGTCAGCATTTCCCAAACATTATATTGCATCTTCATTGGACTAGAAATCCCATTAAAAACAGGGACTTTGGTATCTCTGGTATCTATTTATTTATTGGATAGTATTATACCATATTTATCAATATTATTGATTGGCGATGAAAACGAAATGGAAACGATATAGCCAAGATTGGATGTTTCCTGGTAGTACCTTCAGGACACCAGTCTGGATTTTCAGTTTGGCCTAATTTTTCCCTTTTAAAAAAATATTTATTAATTAATTAATTTTACATCCTGACTGCAGTTTCCCCTCCCTCTTTGCCTCCCATTCCCTCCCCCTCTCTGCACCCCTCCAGGCCCCTCTAATCCACTCCTCCTCTGTTTCTGTTTCTGTTCAGAAAGGGGCAGGCCTCCCCTGGGTATCAGCAAAGCATGGCGGATCAAGTTGCCCTAGGATTAAGCGCCTCCCCTTGTATTTAGGCTGGGCAAGGAGATGCAGTATGAGGAACTTGGCCTAATTTGATGGCTGGATGTGTCCTGTGCTTTTACTGTGTGAACTCAGCAGACCACAGCAGTCAGCTACTTCATCAATCATTAACAGCTGATTGGGATCCAGGCTTTGAGTTCCTCAGAAAGGAGATGCTGCAAAATGCCAGTGGTGGAGCGGAAACCGTGGGGGGGGGGGGGGGGGGGTGGACGACACGACCTTTCTCGTGGAATCCCTCAGGCACACAGCGCCCAAGTGTGCTTTCTCCGGGCTTGGCCCTAATGAAGCAGGCAATTATTGATTAATATTCCCTCTAATTACAGCATAATTTTGAAGTTTGTTTTAAACCCAGTTCTTTGTTTGTTTGTTTTTGTTTTGATTTTTTTGAGACAGGGTTTCTCTGTGGAACAGCCCTGGCTGTCCTGGAACTCACTTTGTAGCCCAGACTGGCCTCGATCGAACTCAGGCAGCTGCCTGCCTCTGCCTCCTGAGTGCTGGGATTAAAGGCGTGTGCCACCACTGCCCGGCATTAAGCCCAATTCTTGTTGGTTATTTGGTATCTTTCTACACCTTTACTCAGCTCCAGAGAAAAATGAAGTTAAAATACTTGCAAGAAGATGGATGGGCTGAGAATGGATAATAACAAGTGAGGTTTGTCAAAAGACAAACAAAAGCATCTTAAATGCACGTTTTCTCTCATATGGAGAATCTAGGCAATAATATCTGTGTCAATGTAAATAAATGCACACTTGGTACAGTATAACCTGAAGAAAAGAAAACAAGAAAAGCTAAGTATCAGAGGACCAGGAAGGACTGAATGTAGGTAATAGACACCAGTTATAAAAGAGAATATGAAGCTAAATGGTTCTTTCTAGTTTCAATTCTGCCATTGGAGCTTTGGGCTTTGGTAGTGCATAGGTGTGTGAAATGTATCCTGCACGTGAAGATTTCAGTAGGAAGATCTGCAGCTTCGGTGTCAAATGTCCATTCTAACTGTGCAGATGTTCATTAAGTTGTGTATAGACTTTGGGTCTGGTTGATGTCGGTGAGTGATGTTTTGATTTATCTGCAGGGTATTTTTTTATAATAACATTTTGTTGTTATTTTGTTCTTTGGGACAGGGTTTCTCTGTATAGTCCTGGTTGGACTGGAACCAGCTCTGTAGATCAGGCTGGCCTTCAACTTAGAGATCCGCCTGCCTCTGCCTCCTGAGTGCTGGGATCAAAGGCGTGCACCAGCACTGAGTGGCTATAATAAAGTTTTTTTAATTAAAAATAATAGTAATCCCAGTTCTAATGAATATTCTGTATTATAAGAAGATCCTCATACATATTTTAAAGAAAGGGAAGCAGATAAAGAGATCAATTCCTTCTGCCTCCCGAGTGTCAGCCTTTCTTATTTTTTTCAAAGCGTGTTTGTTGCCATCTGAAATCACCATATTTGGTTAGCTGTTTAGTTACTGTATTTCAGCTTCATTAGAATCTAAGTCCTATCAAAATAGAGATGGTGGTATCTCTGGCATCTAGAATGGAGCCTGTCATACCATGGGCACTCAATAAATGCTTATTGAAAGAATAAATATTTAACTACTATTCAAATTACTTGATTATTGCTTTGTATAAACATTAACCCTCCAGAACTAATTGTTTGACAAGATCCAATCACCACTACCTTTTTTTTTTTACATCTACAGTGAAAAGGAAACATAAAATGGAAATAAATAACCTCAAATCAACAGGAGATGTTAACTATCAGCTAACTTATGACTTAAAGACAATTTTAGATGTAGGTTCTGGGTAACTTACTGTGTTCAAACTCACTGACAGTTTGTGGGAGCCCCACACTGTGTACCTACCAATGAGTCTTGGCTCTTCAGCTGTTGATGTTAGAACTACCTATCTTCGAATTCTCTCTCCCTCCCTCAGTGATGGGATTCGAACTTCTGCAGATCAAGTTCCTGCTCTCCCAAAATGCCCTGGTTTGCTTCTTCACTAAAAGGATCATTATGCCTACTTATTTTTTTTTGAAATTTTAAGCTGAGAATTATGTGAGATACTTAGTGTCATGACTAGTAGATAGCATTCAATAAAAACTACTATTAATGGAAACATTATTATTTCTGTTATTTCCCTACCCATTTTAGCTAGCCAGACTGAACTTCTGAAATCTATTCATTCTGCCTACATTTCTATGACTCAAGGTATCCCTTCAGCCAGCTTGGATGGCTTTCTTTTATGAAGTTGGCTTGGTTGCTATCTGGTCTATTATTGGAATGACTCACTCAGCCATGGCGGTGCCTGAGAGCTTCATTTCTTGTCCACACCAGCATTGTGCATCTGGTCTAGTCCTGGAATCAGATTCTAAATCTAACTTCCACCTTCCTTCAGTCCCTTGTTTGGGGCTTGAAAACCGGTTCCAAAGAAAACTATGAGTTGCCTAAATATCAGAATAATCTTGTCAATGTCTTTGATGTGTAGCTGTGGACAAACCACACGCTAACCTAGTTTCCATGTTTTCTTCTTTCAAATGAGAAGAGTTGGTTTCGAATCTCCTCTAAGTGTTGTGAGTGTCTCTTAGTATTGAAGGGTTTTCCTTCAATCCCAGTGTTTACCTCTCAGCATGGAAGAGCAGGAGGAGAAAATGGACCGGGGGAATAGTGAATAAATCAGAGTGTTCTTTAAAGTTATTTCTAATAAAAAAAAATGTTTGACTCTAATAATGCAAGTAAATGTTTGACTTCCATACCTTTCCAGGTTAGACAGTCAAAGAATTTCTACTGTAGACATTTCTCCGTTTTCTCCAATGTTAGATGATCTAATGAAGGTTTTATACGTGCTATTCTGTATCTCAGCATCTCTTACAGCTGACAATTTCTAACCGTTTGGCATATGTATACACACATATCCATAACAATAGGATTCCTCTATCAATTCATACCAAGTCAAGATGGAATGCCATCAGATTAGAGGTTTGATAGCTCCACTAGACGATATATAAAGAAAAAAACAAAAAGCAATGCATCGTCTCTGTGGGTAGATTTGTTAGGACTCAGAAAAACATCCCCAAGTGAAGGACCCAGCAGTAAAGTCTCTGTGAGGCCCTCCTGTCTTCAGGTTCTAACCTCCACTCTTTCCCTAAAGCACCTCACAGAAACGAGAACCTTCTCCTCAAACCAGCCATAAAACCTGAAAACATGATTCTAACCTCCAACTTCCCGTAAGTGCTGGTCGTAAAGAAATTCTTCAACCACCCTTGTTTGACGGTAAGTGATAAGACCTCATTCCAGAAAAGAGCTTGCTCCACACCAACGAGGAAGAAATTCTACCAAAAGGAATCCAAGAAAAAATCTGAACAGACAGGGCTTTCCGGTTGGTCCACTCGGCCTGTTACCAGTGGACGAGTCCTTTTCATCCGACCACATTTCTGCACAACTGACCCAGCTTCACAAAACCTAAGCATGACATAAACATCTTCCCTTGAGTCGTCCTCCTGAAGGCTTCTATGCCGCATAGAGTATGAGTGACAAAATCTGGTATGCTTTTCTTGTTAGCTTGAACTTGGCTATGGAGGTGTTAGCTGTTAACTCTCCTGAGGGGCAGGAGAGACATTGTCCCTCCCCACCTCTAGAGCTTTAAGACTTAAAGTACATTTAGACACACTGACTCCTATGACCCTCACAACAAACTAATGAGGTAAGTAGGGCAAGCTTATTGTCCCAATTTATACAGGAAAAACTAGGGCACAGCAGAAAACTGAAGTGCCTTGCCCTAGGCACTACGGTTGATTAGTAACAAGTAGGACAGAAACCCAGGACTCTAACTCTCAGTCCAGGGTTATTTCTATGTTGTCTGCCCCCATTCTTAGCAGCTGACTCACTCTCATGAAATGCCCATCACCAAATCTTCACAGTGGTAAGAGATCTCTCCTACCCACTGGCTGCCTGACTTCCATGAAACAGAACTGGTCTTTGAATCAGTTACATTAAAACACACACACACACACACACACACACACACACACACACACACACACACACACTTCCATACAGAAGAAAAGCTAGTGGAGTGCACAGATGTGGCTGACAGCTGAAAAATGTCACATCCTACTAGAGATAAAGACCTTGGCTATGCCCTGCTTTTGTGTGTACTCACCTCCTCCGGTATCCTCTGGTGCAGAAAATGATGTAAAAATCAGTTTTAAGCAATACCAAGCACCAGGATTTAGTGAAGAAGCAGATAGTATTGCTGTTTGGGGGAAAGGGTGAAAAATGGTCACCATTTGAACTGTGGAGTTCTAGCTGTGACCTTGAATGAACCATGAGGTCAGATGTTCACTCTTGCTGACTAAAACATACCTTCCCAATTTTATTGCCGTTCCAACGTGAGGAGTCGCTATTAATCTCTTTCAACAAAAGCCTGGAGGTTTGAAAGGTTTCATCACCTTTTCAATCTTGTATCATTGTGCTCTTTCATTCTCATGTGTTACAGCAGTTTTACGTCGTGTCTTTTGAGTTGTAAATTTGCAAAATCTGGGCCGAGTCTGTAACTCCGCGGTAGAGCGCTTAACCTAGAACGCACTCAGAAAGTTAGAGCACCAACTCAATAAGCAATAAATAAACTAAGTGTATACTAAAAAGTAAAGTCAAATTTTATTTATATATTGCTCAATTCTTTGACATGTCTAGCCGCAGCTTAATTCTTCTGAAAGAAACATAGAAAGTAACGTTTGTGAACTTGAAGTCATGAAAGACACATACATCCAAGAATGCACTGGCTACCAAAGTATAGTGGTGTACACCTGTAATCTTAGGATTCTGGGTGATACAGGAGGATTATAGATTCAGGACAAGCATAAAAAACAAACAAGCAAAGTCAAATAAACAAGTACACACAAAAATATACTTGGGTGTTCAATGTTAATAGCTCCCCAAATTCACATAGTCCCCAGGTTAGCTATGTCTGGAGAGGGGGCCCTAAGGAAGGAAACAGGTTAAATAAGTTCATAAGGCTGGAACTTGATCCTATAAAGAACAGTATCCTATATGAAGAGATACCGGGGACCTTCTCTCCCTGTTCTTCTCTTTCCCTTCTCCATTTGCAAACTCAGGAAAAGGACCTCGTTAGAAGGGAGCCACATGGACTAGGAAGATGGCTCCAAGGTTAAGAGCACTGACTGTTCTTCCAGAGGACCTGGGTTTGATTCCCAGTACCCACAGAATGTTTCACAATAGGCTGTGAGTCAGTTCCAGGGGATCTGACACCCTCTTCTGAGCTCCATATGAACCAGGTATCCACAAGGTGCACTTACATGTACACAAACACTCAAAGATATAAAATCAAATTTTAAAAGTCTTTCAAAAAAAAAAGAAAGAAAGAAAAGAAAAGAAATGAGCCAGAGACCTTGACCTGGGAGTTTAAGTCTTCATAACTACAAAATAATAATAATAATTATAATAATAATAACAACAACAACAATAATTTCTTTTAGTCTATTTCAGCACTTATAGAAAAAAACAGTGGCAATCTATGGACAACTCGGACTACAATGACTTGGATTGCAGAAGTTATCAAAGGGAATGGTCAAGCCAAAATACAGTCTACGTCTATGGCCTTGATTTTAGAAAGATAACACATACACATGAATTTAACAAGGAGGTCTCAGTTTAAGCTTGCTATCACTAGCCTATATAGCTGTTATCATCTGAACGGTCTTTTGTGTCCTATCACAGTTGGGCTTTTACTCAACTCCCCTCAAGCATCATTGCCAGGCTGGTCTACAGAGCAAGTTCCAGGACAGCCAGGGTCACACTCAAAGGAACCCTGTCTGGAAAAACAAAAACAAAAACAAACAAATCAGTTCTCAACCTGTGGGTCATGACCCCTTTGAGGGTTGAATATCATATATCCTGCATACCAGATATTTATATTATGATTTATATCAGTAGCAAAATTACAGTTTTGAAGTAGCAATGAAGTGATTTTATGGTTGGGGGTCACCACAGCATGAGGAACTATGTTAAAGGGTCACAGCATTAGGAAAAGTTGAGAACCACCATTTAGATTTTCAGCAGCTCAAGGCTATGTGTTCAGAGATGACAGAACTTCACATGACCCATGGAAAACAAATATTTGATGTGGCATTTGTTCTCATGCTCAGCCATAGCCACTGTAACATAGTTTTGTTTTGTTTTTCTCTTCCCTAATAATGTTAATCCTAAGCATAAGGGAGACAATTAAATAGGTTTTCCTGGAATATTCTCCATTTTCCACATTTCGTAGGGATCTAATAATAGTTTCTATGGCAATACAGGGTATTATTTGATGTTCTTGGTTAATATACTGCCTCCTGCTTTGAGGTGTTCAATCAAATCATCAGAGCATTTTGGAGATAGCCCAGGATAAACTCTTGAATTGACAATTTCTGAAGTGAGAGATTTTTTATGGTGGTCACTGAACGACTTACCCAGGCATTTACAAATACTATGAGGATAAGTCAGGGATACACCCATCCTGACCTTCAAGTCCAGATTAAGGTGCTACCAATAATTTGAAGACTTACATACCTTGGGAGACAGAGTCAGAATTCAGGAACCAGAAGTAACTCTCAGCTAGAGCCAACCTGTAGATATTGTAACATAACCCTGTCATGTACAAAGTTAACATAAACCAAGCAACCAAACACACACACACACACACACACACACACACACACACACACACCCTTCATAATATTTTAAGTTTGCGATTTTGTGTTAGGCTATACTTATAGGTAGCCTTGGCTGCACACCTGAGGTGGACAGTGTGTAAGGGTAGGCGACTGAATGTTGCTGGTTCTTCTCCACTTCAGAATCCTGGTACTTTCATTGCTGAATCCTGGTTCTGGAGAGACCTCCTACACTTCAGGAACCTACCAGTTGAACAGGCAGAAACCAAAACACACAGCCCTTTCCTTCTTCAATTCTTCTCCAGCACCTTCAGCTAATAATGCTTAGCCTTGTGCCTGCCAGCAAGGAAAAGCATCTTAAGGGCTCAGATCCACCTCGCCTAGCAGACAGAATGGGTCACTTCAGTCCAGAGAGGCTAAGAAAAGAAAACTGGAATTACTGTCTGCTGTGTGCCAGGATTTCACCTTAGGAGAGATAGCTTGAATTTCTCATGTCAATGTTTTCCAGAGGTGAATATTTTGCTAGTGATGGTCAATTGTGGTGATGAAATTTTTTCTTGTCTTCTTAAAACATTATTATTAATATTGTGTGTGAGTATGTGCAGTGAGTGTGTGCAAGCCATAGCACTCACTTGGAGGTCAGAGGACAACGCTGTGGAGTTGGTTCTCTTCTTCCACTTTTACATGCGTCTGGGGATTGAACTCAGGTCATCAGGCTTGCCCAGCAATCTTACCAGCCCCATTATTTTTAATCATAACTGTTATGTGACTACTATGTAATACCATGTAAATGTGGTTTCTAATTTTACTTTTTGAAACCCATGTGTCACTATAAATAGACATGCAGTTTCTTTTGGGGTAATCATACTGTTCTAAAATTACATTGTGGTAATGGTTGCAAGGCTGAATGTGAAAATTCATTTAATTTTACACTTCCCTGAAATAAAACCAATGGAGGCTTTTCAGGCGGCAGATCACTTGATTATCCTGAGCTGTCTGCAACCCTTGACCGTTTGCTCCTTAGACATACTCCCAATTCCTTCTTTGCTTTTTGTTTTGATTAAATTTACCTTTCTTTTTATTTGCTCAAGTCCTTATATTTCCTTCTTTTTTTTCCTTTTGAGACTGATCTTATATGCAACCCTGGCTAGGCTGGAACTCTGTGCAGATGCTACATAGACCAACTGGGTTGTACCTCTGCCTCTCCTTCTGAATCTGCCTCCTGAGTATGAGTTATTGGTATGTACCACTATACTGGGATGCTCAAAGGTTTACATTTTCTGCTCCATATTCATATGTTGGTATTTTTGGTTGCTTTTCTACTCTTTTAGGGGGCTCACTACCCAGCTCCTAAATAATGCACACAGGGAGGCTTATTCTTAATTATAAATGTCCAGCCTTAACTTGGCTTGTTTCTTACCAGCTTTTTTTAACTTTAAATTAACCTGTGTGTCTTTTGCCTCTCCACTGCTGGTTGTGTAGCTGGGTGGCTGGCCCCTGATCTCCTCTTCTTTCTCTTGCTCCTAGATATTCTTCTCCTCCCAGATTTCTCATTCTATTTATTTTCTCTGCCTGCCAGCCCTACCCATTCTTTCTCCTGCCTTGCTATTGGCCTGGTCAGTTCTTTATTAGACCATCAGGTGTTCTAGCCAGGCACAGTAACACAGCTTCACAGAGTTAAACAAATGGAGCATAAACAAAAGTAACACACCTTAAAATAATATACAACATGTTGGTGTTCTCTGGTTGTCCATTTTGATTTTGATGTCCTGTTTAATGACTTTAACTTTTACTTTAATGAGCATATTTTTCATTTACAGAGAGGGAGTCCTCACTCTTCAGGTTTTCACTGACAAATCCCCTTTCTTGCTCTGGTTAGTTCACTTAGTCTATAGAATTTATAAGTAAGAAGTAGTCTTATAGAATTTGCACCTTCTGGCTTGAGAGTTTCTAAATTCAGGATTCTCTTAGTCCAGAAAAGAGTTATCTGTTTTTTTGTCTGTCTTGGGACAGGGAATGGTAGGTCAAGCTTGCCTCAAAGATGCTGCATAGCCGAGGATGAACTTGAGCTTCTGATCCTCCTGCCTCCACCTCCTGAGAGCTGGAATTATAGACATGTGCCACCAAGCTGAGTTTTCTCAGCACTGGAGAATCAAACCCAGCATGCTATGCAAGTACTCTACCCACCGAGGTACACCCCCAGCCTGATTATCTTCTCTCCATTGAATGCACTCATTAGCTTAGACAATATCTCAGTGCATTCTTCCTGCTCTCTATTCATTTCTTTCCCCCACACTTCTGGGAAATCTATAAATTAATACCAACATTTTTAATAGCTTAATTTCTAAAAACTACTTGTCCAGACATGTATTATACGATTCATTTACTAACTCTTAGACCTTTTCAGAATACTTTTTATGTATGTCAATAAAAGCCTATAAATGAGAAGATATTGAGGTGTTTCTCATAGTTACTATTAAGGGTAGGCCACCACCCTGTGATTAACTCAAACTCCTCTTTGCAGGACTTGTGACATAAGGCAGCCATGCTTTGGGTTAACACAGCACAGAGCCGAGGGCTCACTAGCAAGCACAGAGTAGCCAGATGCCACCTTCCATTGTTCCCAAAGGAGACTTTACTATCAGTTCCTAATAGTCATATCTGCAACATGACTTCACTCTATAACCTACTGTTCTCCTTCAAGACTTCTAAGATTCAGCCAACCTGAGCTGACACTGAAGCCCCATTCTTTCTTCCCTCTGGGTCCATGTTCATCTGCTCGGCAGACCTTTCCTCCATCTCTCGTTGAGCATGGCAGTCAATTTAACCTGCTGCTTCCCCAGAGCCTAGACTGATTCCTCAGATAAAGCTAGCCTTTCTTCTCCCCCCAAGTCATACTTTTTGTACTTATTACCATAAATCAATTCCTTTTCAGTTTGGCAAGCACCTTATCTTACATAGGAAACTTGAATCATTCATCGCAAAGGCAAAGTCCACGTCCTCTGTCTTTCCATGTCTGCTGTGAACCTCCTAAAGCACCAGAGAGGTTTGCTGAATTACCCTGTGAATGCCTCAAACTTAATCATGGATAATGAGTTAATATTTATCGAATGTTTAGTGCAATTCTGTGCACAGAGTGTTACACAGGTGTTTGTTAAATAAAGTGAAAGGTTGATAGGACATAAGCTTGGATTTAGAAGGACTATTGTTATTGTAATTACTGAAAATGGTGTCTATAATTTATTAACAGACTCAGATAATTTCCTCTTTATTACCAGACTCCTACGAATGTGGAACCATGGATGGAAACACGACTTTCTTTTTATATTCTGTTCCTTTTTCTAATTACATATCATTTCTCTCACAGTGATAGTTAAATCTCATTATATTTAATGATTTATCCATTTTCTGCTGTAACAGTTTTATCAGCGACTCCTTGTATTATAATCTCATTATTTTACAAAATTATATCCTATTTGTTAAGAACAGTAACTGTTACCATGATTTTATCTTCAATGCTCTTTTCTGTGTCAACGTCTTAGCCCTCTTTGTGAAAAGATTAAACATTTTTCTTCTCTTCCTTTAGTCAAGTCCTGTTCAATGTTGCATGTATAAGTGTCTTTCACTGTATGTTGCTATTTTATTTGAAGAATTTAATTCTTCATCTGAACTGAGCAGGCCACATTTCTACAATTCTATGTTTTGAGGGAATAAGAAGGCATACACTGAGGAAATCTAAATGATCATTTCCCCCTCTATCCTGAAGTATAATATACCTGTAATAAAACACTGAATCATTATTTCTTAATTTCTACTGACTCTATTTCCCCTATGAGACTGATATTTTTACTTCTTGATTGAAATGTACTTTGTGGAGGGAAGCTGTGAAGTGTTCAACCTAATCTCAGAGATGCATGCTGGAGCTACACATGGAACATTACAGATTTCCACCATCTATGGGCTTAAATGGACGTTTGTTTAACTACACACACACACACACACACACACACACACACACACACACACACACACACGAAACCAAGCTGTGTCAGGGTTAGGGTTCAGTTGCAATCTGTTGCTTGTCTGCACATGTTATAATGTCATTTGAGATGTATGTGAAAAGGGTTGCAGTGCCAAGGGTCAAATTGCAGTTTTGAGTGGTGCTTTTTCTCCCGAATCCTGGTAGCTTTTTTCCTTCAAATTTTAATACAAAGAATTCCATACATACACTGTATAAGTAATGTTAGTTATGACCTTGGAAAACATTTATTTATTTGCACAAGGGTTTGTATGTGTATGGGGGTCGTGGTAGAGGTGTTAGCACCTAGGGGCGTGTGCAAGCAGAAGCATGCACGTGAAGAGCAGAGGATGGCTTTGGGGAGTCAGTTCTCACCTTTCTACGGTGTCTTACTTGACCTCCTCATTGTTGTGCTGCGTCATCCAGGCCTGAAAATCCAAACAGATGTTCTGATTTATGCCCTTTGTCACCACGAACGAGTGCTGCGGCTAAAGATGTGTGCCATCCTATCTGGCTTTTTATGTGGGATCTGAAGCTCAAACTTGGATCTTCAGCCTCATCCTTTACCCACTGAGCCATCTCTCAACTCCACATCATTCTCTGTGTAACACAGTTGTGCGACACACACACACACACACACACACACACACACACACACACACACACACGTATGCCCGTGTTTCTGAGAAACACTAGGGAAAATATATTTTGTCACACACACAAAAAAGTCACCTATCAGTGTCATGCTTTCTATCTGACACAGTCTAGATCTTTAATGAAAACTTTACCGCTTTATTTTTCTTTGATATGAAAATGTTTAAATTCTTTCATCCAGGAAAAGAATTCATCCCCTCTAATGCTCCTGTGTGTGACTTAAAAGGGTTATGATGCCGGTACACACTTTTGTGGCAGGCCCAGACAGCAGTGAGGCACACAGAGTTCCTGGGTTAAATCTCAATCTCTTCATTTAATGAGAACTGTATGGAGCTTGTTGTTCCACTGGAAAGATTAAATACGTTAATTTGCTTGAAGAATTAAGGAGAATTTTTGTACATGTTAAGTCAGACATGTGTCCAGTTGCTGTTTTCTTGAGTTACAATCAGTTTTTGTTTGTTTGTTTGTTATTATTGGTTTTTTGTTGTTGTTATTTTTTCAAGACAGGATTTCTTTGTGTAGCTCTGGCTGTCCTGAAACTTACTCTATAGACCAGGCTAGCCGAAAACTCAGAGATCAGCCTGCCTCTGCCTCCCAATTGCTGGAATTAAAGGAATGCACCACCACTGTCTGACTAAATTCAAGATTTTTAAGCTAAAAGGTTTCAAAACAGAGTATATAATGTTTAAAATTAAAGCAAATGTTCCTTTGTTCTATTACCCTTTGTGGGAGTCCTCTATGAAGCAGGGCCACACAGCGAGAACCTAAACAAACAGAAAACGTTAGATGAGAGGTGCATTAAAAATCTATTTTAGAGACTAGAGGGCTGTCTCAGTGGTTAAGAGTCCTGAGCTCTTCTAGAGGATCCTCATACCCATGTACTGCAGCTCACAACTGCCTGTGACTTTGGTTACAGCGAATCCAAAGTCCTTTCTGTACCTGCACACATGTAGCATTACATTCACACAGAAACACGCACATAAATCAGGATAAACCTTAACATTCTATGTTTAAACAGCTTCCCAACAAGATTGTTATGCTTTATGCCTTACAGGGGTGTGTGTGTGTGTGTGTGTGTGTGTGTGTGTGTGTGTGTGTGTGTGTGTGTGTGTGTGTGCAGTGTGTGTACAAATGTGGGTAGAGAATGGGGGATGAGGAAGAAAAGAAGAAATGATTAAAATAATTTTAGAAGGATCCATCCAACAGGCTAGCCTGCCAGCGCGTGTTGAGCTGTAGAAAGCCGCACAGCCCAGGCCCAGGAATCAGCCAATCAGAAGGCTTAAAGCCACATTTCCATAACGATGATTGGCTAGGAGTCTGGAGGCTGGCTGAGCTGCAGGAGGATGGGGGAAGAAAGGCTCTCCTGAGAAAATAGCAGAATAACTCTCTGTTGTTCACTGCATATTCTCCAAAGGATTCATCCTGTAGGAAGTCTTGTTTGGGAAACAGAGGAGACACAGTTGTTCCCAACAACCAGAGGCATTTGACGGCCAAGAAGCTGAGCAGGATGGATGTCCTCCTTAAAATCAGGGTGAGGCTCCTGATTCCTTCTAACCAAATACGTGAAGACTGTCTGGGAGATGCACACGGATCATACATCAATAATTAGGGCTTGCTGGTTTTGATGAACACCATTGCTTTATTACATGTGGGTCAACTATCCGGATTCTGAACAGTGTGAAAATCCTTTTAAACATCCTGAGCATTTTTTTTTAGTTAAGGGTGTTACACCACCCTCAATAACAAAGCTGCCCTGTTTTTCTTTTTTTCTCCTGTAGCCATATATACAGCAATTTTAGAGACGTTTATCAGTGTGTTTCATAATGATCTCACAAATTTTTATACCTACAACGCTCTGCTCTCAGGAAATCATGGAGAGAGTCTCCTAACAGAAGGACACAAAGAAAGAAAAGGACAAGGAATATAATGACGGTATCCAACTGTCTTTTGTCCTTTCCCAACATGGTGGTTTTCTGCTCTCTTGTTTTAAATTCACACTGAGTAGTGACATCTCACCTACAAGTTTTTAAATTTTGTTTTACAAACATTCCCCCCCACACCATGGACTCGCTTTCTGGCAACGGGAGACTAACACAGCAATGGAGATTAAGCACAAGTATTTTGCAGACTTTCCCAGTGACCATTCCTTGGCTGCCTAACAGACCAGCCATTCAGAAGCAATTTTCTTCAGGCTGAAATTATGTGCTGACCGTAGCAGATCACTTCCCATAATAACCCTTCCCCCACCCAGCGCTAAATACAATCTGTCTCCTACTCACTGTAATAACGTGCAAATGACTGTAATTTTGCAGACAAGAAACAGCCCAAAGTGAAACGTGTCTAAACAGAGGTCGATTTGAAAAATCAGGGCTATTACCTAAATCTGTAAAATACATATTGTAATAAAACCAGCAACAGCAATCTCCAATAAGTAGTTCTAAAAAACGCAGCTTGTGTTTTGATCTTCTTCGTGTACCCGGTCTTCACAGGCAGAAAAGAGACTCTTTTCCTAGAAATGGTCTCATTGCATGGGATGTAAATTGCCTGACTTTGCTAGCCGATCCCAGACCCTGCTAGAGCACCCGTGCAGACACAGCCCACACCACCCTGACAGTGCCTAGGGCCAAGCTGACATATGATTTCAGACACTTAACACTGACCTACATAGCTGTTCTCCCAATGCTAGCAGTATGAGTGTTTTCCTTAAAGAAAAAAAAAAGTGCTGTTTTGCTAGATTCTCTCAAAGTGAAACATAGCAGACTCAGGCTTCTGCCTTTTCTCCTCTATTAAGGCATTGGAACTGCACAAGAGGACAGGAGTTATTCGGGCGTACAGGGAGACACTACCCCATCTTTCTCTTTCTGTCTTGGTATTGAACCCATGCCCTCAAGCAAGCTAGACAAGCACCCCACCATGGAACTATACCCCTAGCTTTTTATTTCTTTACTATTGAAATTCATTGCAATGTTAAATCAATTGATATATTTGCTTTCTACCATCTCTCGTTGTTTAACCTAAGCTATATTACTAAGAGCTGTCAAGATGGCGCGATTCTCTCTGTCTTTTGTGAGTCGACTTATAAGACCTTAGGCTAAAAAGAGTGAGCAGGACATAAAGCCACCTGAAAAGCTAATGTAGCCATGTTAGAAGATGTGGGAGAGGATTTGTGGGCTGTCTATCAGACATGTGTTTTTCCAGCAGGGAATGTCATCAGGTCTTTCTTCCCTCATCTCTCTCTGCCCCTTACCTCTCTCTACCCCTCATCGCTCACTACCAAGGACTTGGGATGGTTCTGTATACAAAAGTTTTTTTTCCCCCTTGGCACTTTCTTTTGGTCCAAGGTTACTTCAAAATAATGTAAAACATCATATGTTTGACCAAAGAACACTGCTTGGCTCCTTTTGATGAAAATTATCCAGAGATAGATATTGCTGAAAGTACCCCAAGGAAACTTTAGCTGACTTTAGCATGCAGGTGTAAAAGGGCAGCAATTTTTTGTTTTGTTTTGTTGTGGGGTTTTGCTGTTGTTTGGTTTGGTATTTTTTTTCCTTAATAGCTCTTTAACAACTAGGAGCAATTATCTGTAGGTGAAAAGAGTGAAGACCTTCTAATATTTGTAGGTTTCATTAATCAACCCTGTATTCTCTAGAAGAGAACAGGTCACCTGCCCACTGCCTTCAGGCAGACCTCTGCTTAAGGGCTCCAGGCAGATAAGAATCTTTCCTGATAGTCTTATTGGGTAGCCAATACATTTCTCATTATATCTAAATTAAATTCCTTTTCCTACAAATTAAGTTCACTTTGACATAGAATTCGTCTTTTAGGATCTCCCTTTCTAGTTCTTCTCTTGGTCTTGAGAGCTCCCAAGAACCCCCAAGTGTGTGGTGTGTGTAGATTTAGAAAAGCATCCACTTGTTTCCATGTAAATAAAAACTCAAGAAATTATGTCTGGAAGGCACAATGGCACATTCCTATAATCCTACCATTTGGAAGGGAGAGGATATCAAGTTCTAGGCTATCCTGGACTACCTAGTGAAATGTTCATTTTTTAAAAAAAAAAAAAAGAAGAAGAAGGAGGTAAAACTGATTTCTGGCCCTTAATAATACACCCCCAAACAGAAGAAAGAGTCCCAAAGACCACCTTAATTTTCTGTGGTGCTATTTGAAGCCCTTGGCCTCCTCTTGGGCTCTTTGTAGATAAAAAAATAAAAAAGCCGAAGCAAAGTCTCTCCTGTCAGGATCTGTCCACCTCCTTGCTAATGATGGAGTGCTGAGCTGATTTGGGGGCCCAGAGAGGGGTGATGGTGGCTGCTATGGCAGGAAGGATGACACACTTGAACTCCCTCCTTTACACTAACCTCCTGTTTCCCCCACCCCTCAATTCTGAACACTGCTCTTTTCCCCAGTCATCTCCTCTCTGGGTAGACACCCAGTGAAACATAAAATTACAAAGTGCATGTGTTGAAAGAGTGTACTGGTGTAATCAAGAAAATGCAGTAAATGCTGTTCGGGACAGCAACACTCCCTGGTACATTACCTTGATAAGACGTATAGGTAATAATGAAGAAGAAGTCAAGAATTTGAAAGGGAACAGAGGGCACAGGAGGAGTTGGAGGGGCAGAACATAAGGGTGGAGATGATGCAAATGCAATACTCGTGTATAAAACTCTCAAAAAGATTAAATTGAATAAAAAATAATCAAGATGAAACATTTCAGCTCTGTAAACAGGACCAAGCTTTCCAACTCTGTGAGGGAGGAGAGTACCTCCACTCCTCAAAGCTGCTAGCTCATTGTCTTTCCTTCAGTTTTCTATTAACTGGGAGTCCTCTGATGCCTCCTGATTGTCCCCCAACCCTTGTCAAACAAAAGAAAACAAAAAAAAACCAAACCCATGCAAAGTCAGTAAAATGAAACAGTCGTCTGTTCAAAAGTTGCCCGGAAGAGTTTGGGAGGTGGGAGAGATGGCGGTGGGGAATACAGGACTGTGGGAATGCTAACATGGAAAGAAAAATGCTTTAATTTGCCAAAATAATTTGAATTAAATCTGTAGTCACGTTGGGCATAAACCTTCGTCTTTGGCCAACGGTGTTTAAGGTTTAGGTTTGGGTGTTGAAGTCAGGGCTGGGTTCAATTCCACATCTTGGATGGTTAAGTTTTGGATCTGGTTGTATTAAACCTGTGGTTCGACTCAGTAATGTCTTTAGTAAGGGGATGTTTTGAAAGAGTTTTACTCTCCCAAGTGTCACGAGACGATAATGTTTAAATACCCAGTGAAGTATTTTTTGTTTTAAGAGATAAGCATTGATTTTTCCAAACAATTATAACATATGGGGGAGCCATACCCTGAAATGGAGACAACACCCCAGGGAGACAGGAAGTGCACACACAAGCCTGTGCTGCTCTTTTGAGGAACTGCACTTCTAAAGGAAGTTAAGACTCTCCCCACAGTGCTGTGCTGTTACCCAGGAGCCACACACAAATGCAAAACCTGTACAGTCAAGCACACTGCACAAACTTCAGAGCTAAAATGGAAGGTGAATGGACATCAGACATCTAATTTGCCCCAGATTATTTGTTAATGTACAGCTTCATTATTTGAGTGCAAAGGAGTCAAGGCCACCCAAGCCCTCCTTATAGATCGCTTTCCGTCTTACTCTAATAAAGGTCAGAAATTGCTGTTTGTTAATGTTTGCGACATCAAGTCTAGTTCATCTAGGGCAGTGAAACAACAAATTGGCATTTTTTAATGGACTAAATATATTAAAAACACAAACATTAGTCAATAGCCATTACTTATAACATGTGGCATAAATGTTTTTATTGATCCACAAAGTCGCCACCAAACATTTACATCATAGCTGTCTTCTGCCAAAGGTAATTTCCTCTATGTGCCTATTTGCCTAAGCTAAGGCACATCTAAAACTCCAACTGTCTGGTGAAAAAAATCCCAATAACCCCCACTCCCTCAAACTTGGGGTTTTAATAGGTTTACTTAAAATTCATAGACTAAGTGACTTTAAAATCTCCATATTTTAGCTCCTAAAATAATTGAAAATAACAACACAAAGTTAAAAATAAACCATGTTCTAAAGGCTTACTATGTAAAGCTACATTGTTTTAAATATATTAACGAGTTGTTATTTTACAATAGCCTCTTGTCCTGGAAAATGAGTCCCATTAACTTGGCTGCGTTTGTCTTACCATAAAAGTGAGAACATTTTGTATGTTTGTGGTTTGTGGACACAGCATTCAGAGAATTTAGGATCTCTGCCCGCTCCAGAATTAAAGAGTTGAGAAAAGAATTCTGACAGATAATCCAGATGGTTAAAAATTAAAGACAGAGCACGTTTAAGGGGTTAATAATGCCTAGTGTATTTTATCTTTCACAAATCGATTTATTTTTTAATAAGGCTGGTCTGGGTCCTTGTTTTATATTTATTTATCTATTCGAGTCACAGAAGATCAGGTGGAGAGATTTGTTGCTAATTTAAGAGAGCCATTCATTAGGTTGGCTCAATGGCCATCGGGGTCCACACGTTAGTGCTTGCAGACCCAACGCATGGGAACAAAAGGGTTACTTGTTCCCCTATCACTGGACGCCCCCAGTTGATTTTTCTGAGAGAGAGAGAGAGAGAGAGAGAGAGAGAGAGAGAGAGAGAGAGAGAGAGAGAGAGAGAGAGAGAGAGAAATTTTGCAGGAAGGGCAAGGTGGTGGGGGAAGGCTGAGAGGCAGAAGCTGCAGAGCTGGGCTGCTGAGTCCTTGGGACGTGGAAGGGACAAGAGCAAACCGCTCGCGTGGGTTTCCACGGAGCGGCGTCCCCGCTCTGCGCCGGTGGCTCAGCTGGCTTCCCTCTGCCACCGAGCGATCACATACATTATTTCCCCCAAGATAACACAATCAAACTTGCATTTACCGACATCCTCTCTTCGCAGCCCTGCTTGAGATGTGTTTTAATAAATAAGTGTTTTATGTGAATGATGTAGTAATTGAAACAGGAGCCCCATTTTCCCCCCTCCCTTCGTCCTGCGGGAGGTTCCGCAACCCCAATCTGCTTGGAAAATAAAACGCTTTGTCTCCACCGCCACCCCCCATCGCACCCCCACCCGCGCTCAGTGTGTGTTTTATACGTGTGTATATCTCAACCCCCTACAGTAGCCAAGAGAAAGCAGCTAGCCAATGAGAGAGCCCAGTTTCATAAAAGCTGCTCTCTGATTGGCCCGATGCGAAAGGGCATTGGGAACAAAGAAAAGTCCCTTTCAGGTATACAGGCTGAGAGCTCCTTTGGCTCCACTCCCCCTGTGCGTGTGTTGTGTTTCAGTTCTGATTCCACTGTTCCAGAACAAGCTTGGTGTGGTGTGTGTGTGCACCGGGGGGATTTCTGTGTTCTGTTTTTTTTTTTTTTTGCTTTATTTTGTTGTTTTTTTTATTTTTTATAAAAAAAATACACGGGACGGTCTGTGACATTTGCTGGTCCATCTTTAATAATAAAAAAAAAAATTGAAGAGATTATAATTTCCAAAATAAAGCGGCTGCAACCAAACACACTCAATGCAGTTAGAAGGAAAAGGTCAACTCGCTCCCATACAGACCGTAAGTACGGTTGCGTGGTGTGTCGCTATATAGCACTTTTAGTGGGGTGTTCATGCAGGGGAATGTGCGAGTTTTATGCATTGAAATGAGGAACTAGTTACAGGGCTGGGCTTTGCGTTTAGAACAACCCAAGAAGGGTGAATTTTATTCAGTGGAGGGTGAAGCGTTTGTAACTTCTTTAGACAAATTAAGCTTGACTGGGCACTTGGGCTAACTTAGGGTAAATTACCTTTTGGGCTCTAACCCAAAGGAGACTAAGAGTGATTCAGTTACACACCCTGGTCCGCCGTGTCAGCTCTCTAGCGCACCTTCCCCCTCCTCCCGTCTTCCTACCGGAGCTGAGCAGACCCCCGCCCAGACCGAGGCAGGCAAATGCGAACCCGGGTAGAACAAGCCGATTTCTCTCCTGTCACATCCTCCTGCTCAGTAATTTAATAGTAAACTAGGGAATATTCATCCATTACATGTAATGGCTATAACTACCATTTTCCACCTTCTTAAAAAAAAAAAAAAAGAGCTGGAAGAAAAAAATAACACCATTAAGAGAAGGGGGAGGGAGCCCCACCCAACCCAAACAAACCCACAAATAGTAACAATGGTGTGTTTATTACAAGACTGGGTTTGGGAGCTAGCAAAATGTTTTTCTTTGTTTAATACATGAAGTGGCGCGCGCGGGGGGGGGGTTGTCCCTAAAATCCCAGCTGCTCCGAGGTACCCTGCCCCCTCCCTCAGGCGTCCGCCGCCGCCCTGGCCCCCTTGGGAAAGCCGACAAATTGGAGATCAGTTGAGGATAGGTTTATAAGGTGTTTCTTTAAAACATCTGCTTTGCTCCTGTGGCCATTTCCCTCCTTCGGAACTCCTGAGCTCCTAGATGGCTGAGAAATGTTTCACATTCATAACTTGTAGCTTCGCCCATTGCAGGGCGTGCGGGGGGGGAGGGGGTACGTGCGGAGGGGGGGGGAGGAAGGGAGAGACCTTCAGCTTTTTTTTTTTTTTTAAAAGACCAGATCAGTATTTTCTTGATACGCTTGTCACCATTTTTGTTCTCACGACAACCAATTGAGCCCTTGATCCTCACGTGATGTGAAAGGCTTGCACTGTAACAAAATCGCTCCTTTTAGATGGTTGGTGTTGCTAACGCGCCCATCCCCCCTCTCCCAGCCCCGACATTTCCAGCAAAGCGACTCTCCACTTCCAATCCATCAACAATTCATTACTGCTTTTAGCTTCCAAACGCCAGCTAATTAAAAATACTAAGCCAAGCTCTGAGGCCATCTGACTAAACACAGGAGGGGGTGGGCGAGAGGTGGAGAGAGGAGGGAAAAAAAAAAATAGAGACGCACTGTTTGCTGCGTGTAGAGAGGAAAAAAATTGTCCTGGAAAAAGGTCGCCTTAAAAAAAAAATCTTTTTGACTCTAATTATCGAATTACCACATGACAGATCGGCTTGCGCGGCGGAGGATTTTAACCCCTCCTCGGGGACTATTCTAAGAACTCGGTTCTTTTTTTTTTTTTTTTTTTTTTTTTTTCTCAAAAACAACATAAAACAGGAAAACATCACATCCTTCAGGTTTCCAAGACAGCCCCTTTTAGACGCCGTTATTTTCCCCGCTCCACCGCCCCCCGCCCCGGGCGAAAGCTGCTCTAACTGGTTTATCGGCTCCCTGCAACGTCGGCTCCCTCCTCCTCCACACCTTCCTTTTTCTCCTCCATCCCAGCTCCTCATTCCACCCTTTCTTCCTCCTTCTCCTTCCTCCTCCTCCCCGCCCCCCCCCCCCATCCTTTCACCCCCTCCGTAAGTTAGTTGGAGAAATCAAATGTCAGGACGAGCGGAAAAATGCCACTTCCCGACTAACAGGCGGAATCCAGCCCAGATTTTCAGTCCTTTCTTCTTATTCTTTCTTCCCTTTCACTAATTTATCCCGATGTTAGCACATTCTGTCTCGTTACTAGAGGACGCCTGTAGGTTTGCTACATGAGATCATTACTTACTGATCACGGTGACTCTCGAGTCTGCAACTGAAGGCGGAATTCGAAGTTCGGAAAAGTTTTTTCTCCAATCTCAATCTCTCTCTCTCTCTCTCTCTCTCTCTCTCTCTCTCTCTCTCTCTCTCTCTCTCTCTCTCTCTCTCTCTCTCTCTCCCCCCTCCCCCTCCCTCCCTCCCTCCTTCCCTCTCTCCCTTCCTTCCCCTCCCCCCTCTCTCAACACCCTATTATTCTGAATGCTTGTTAAGAGGAAAAACACCCTTCGGTGCTTGGGTTGTGAATGTGAAGCATCTCCCAGCTGCACAGTGACACATTTTTTTTTAAGGAGAAAAGGACTCCAGAGCTTTTTGCCAAAAGGGGGATGGGGAAGTGGAATAATGTTACTGAGTGATTATTTTGGCTGAGATGTGTTACTTGGTTTTTTTCCTTTTTCATCATTTGGTGTTTAAGTAAAATGAGGCACAGGCTTGTGTGCCGAGTGGAGTGAGAAATACCTTTTGATTTTCGGGCCTAATTAAAAAAAATGATAAAGGATTAAAAGGTAAGCATTCTATGTGTGTGTGTGTGTGTGTGTGTGTGTGTGTGTGTGTGTGTGTGTGTGTGTGTATTTATTTATTTTCTTGACAATCAACTGTTAAAAGGGGCTGATCCCTTTAAAAACTGTTTTAACTGCTCTTTGTCAAACACACATTTGTGGTCACTGAGGCCACCGTGGTGCAGATCACTTAAAGTGTATGTCTTAATCAGTTTCTCCACAGTCAGGAGCACCATGTTTAACAGACTGAGCCGTTCTGTGACCCAGGGGTATGGCAGAATTGTTTAGATGGATTTTCCTTTTTTCCTCAAAAGGCAGATATTTAACCTTTCCTCTCACACTGTCTTTTTACTGAGAGAAATACTCTTAGAGAGGTCTGTATATGTTTCAGAAAGAATTGTGTGGCTGTAGGGGCAAGGGGGTGGTATGTTTGTGTGTGTGAGGGCGACTACGGTTTTGTTTTTTCCTGTTTCTTATGGGAAACAAAACCTAGATTTCCCAGGCAATTTGTAAGAAGTATTAAAATGAGAAAGAAGGAAGGTTTAGTGACATCACTCTGAGCCCGGGTCCCAGAGAACTTTCAGGGCCTGGTTATTTACACTGTAAGAGCCAGGACATGTTTAGAGATGTTTAACACTGTGTTTTTCTTGTCTGAGTGTCCGGGATCTTTTCCTGGGGTTGAAATAACCCATGTGCCAGGCAAAAATGTTCAACTTAAAAAAAAAAAAAAAGCCACAAAAATCCTTCTGGACTTGAATCAGATCCTCGGAGATATTTTAACGCTTTTAAAGAACTGGCTATTCCCTGTTGTTGAGGGGGCTTTTCATTTTAGCTTCTATAAGATGCTTTTTATCAGCGGGTGCTTTTCAAGTCTGGCTGTTTTCCTTTAAACCTGGTATTGGACTGTGGAGACAATAATAAGCCCCTTACTCTCTGTCCTTCCCTGTACCCCTCCCTTACTGACTCCCCAGTATTAATCGTTTTCTATTCCGGTAACATCCAGACAAGAAACATTCGACTTTTCCCCCCTCCACAGGAGATGGTGGACCTCGTGTGAAGGGTGTGGGATCCCTGGACACATTCTTGGGGCAGGAAAAAGCAGAAGATTGGAAGATTTTTTTTTTTTTCTTTTAAGAGAAAGCCCAGCGGAGTTAAACGAATGTCCCCTCATCTCACAAGGAAAGTTCATCGGATTTTTAATCTAGAGAGCTCATCTTCAGGATGTCCGTGAACGTTTCGACTGCAGGAAAAGGTGTGGATCCAAATACAGTTGATACTTACGACAGTGGCGATGATTGGGAAATCGGGGTTGGAAATTTAATCATTGATTTGGACGCCGATTTGGAGAAGGACAGACAGAAATTTGAGATGAATAATCCCACTAACACCACTACCAACAGCAACACTAAGGATTGTGGAGGTCCGGCCTCCAATGGGACCGGTGCTACCTCAGCCTTAGCTGATGGCCTAAAATTTGCTTCTGTTCAGCCCTCCGCTCCCCAGGGGAATTCACACAAAGAGACCAGCAAATCCAAAGTGAAAAGGGCTAAAACTTCTAAGGATGCTAATAAATCTCTGCCTTCTGCTGCCTTGTATGGAATTCCCGAGATCAGCAGCACTGGCAAGAGGCAGGAAGTCCAAGGGCGCCCTGGAGAGGCTGCTGGCATGAATTCAGCGCTGGGTCAAAGTGTGAGCGGCGGCGGCGGCGGCAGCGGCGGCGGCGGCAACCCAAACAGCAACGGTACCAGCACCGGGACCTCGGCTGCCACCGCGGGGGCAAGCTCCTGTGGGAAAAGCAAGGAGGAGAAGCCAGGGAAAAGCCACAGCAGCCGAGGCGCCAAGCGGGATAAGGATGCTGCGAGATCCCGGAAAGACAAGCACGACCTGCTGCAGGTCCACCAGAATGGCAGCGGAGGCCAGGCCCCCTCCGGTGGTGGGCACCTCTATGGCTTTGGGTCCAAGAGCAATGGAAGCGGTGCGAGCCCCTTCCACTGCGGGGGCGCTGGGAGTGGCGGCGTCGCGGCTGCCGGGGAAGTTAGCAAAAGCGCTCCGGATTCAGCGCTCATGGGAAACTCTATGTTGGTCAAGAAGGAAGAGGAGGAGGAGGAGAGCCACAGGCGAATCAAGAAACTGAAAACCGAGAAGGTAGGATAATAAGGTCGCCTTCTTGTGTGTCCCACTCTGTGTGCATCTGTTTGGGGATGCGGGACGTGCCTCCGGGTGCCTTACACTTACTTCCTAGTGCTTTCGGGTTCTCTGTGAGATTCCTATGACGGTCATCCTTTACGGGGACGGGGGGGGGGCTATCCTGAGTGCAGTGTTCGGCTCTTGCTTCTGCTGCTTCGGCCGCTCGTGGTGCCGGGTTTGAAAGGTCATGGGGTGGGAGGCTCTGGGTGTCCTAAGTGCCTTTCGCCTTGTAAGGGCTTCTGGTCAGCCAGCAAGTTGTCCGTGTGCTTTGAATAGGAAACCTGCTGCTACACTAGCGTGTCTTTCGTCCTGGTTTCTCCTCAAAGGAGAATTGTCGTCTGTGTTATTGTTAAGAATGTGTCCTTAGGAACAGGGTTCTAGTTCCCTCTGTGGAAAGGAGTGTGAAGGGTTATTTGCACTCATTGTTCTGTTACTTATCCCAAAACAGTTCTGCAAAGGATGGACTCCCGAGCTTGGAGTGCCGGTCACTGATTTCCTAACTATGCAGCCAACTGTGATGGTTTTGGTGGCTATGAGTACTCTCCCTTTGCTCTCTCACCTATTTGCAGCTGGAGCTGTGAGACTGCTATCGCTTGGGTATTTAGGTTGTCTGGGCAGCTGGAAGCTCAGTAAGTAAGAACTGGAAAGCACACTTGGCTAGTGTTCCTGAAATGTGACGCTCTAACCAAAGGGGGCATGGTGGCAGCAGGGAAGGGAAATACTAGACATGTGTGCTGCATTTAACAATGCTTGGCTTAGGCCGTTTGGACCCTTGCACCCCTCTTGGTCATTGTTTTAAAGTCTGTGGTTAGAAGCTGTACTGGAAAAACTGCCCCCAGTGTTACCTTGCTTAGGCATGGAGGCCTGGGTCTTGTTTGGCTGGGATGCCGTTGCTTTGGGGTAATGTCTGGCCACTGATGGGTCTGTGTCTACCAGGAACATTGATTGGGAGGTGAGAGTGGTGTTTCTATGAAATTAATCTTTAGATTCATTCCACAAGTTGTAGCATGCAGATGTAGTATTTCTACCACGTGGTTGTAGCAATGGGATTTCTTCTATATATGCTTATTATATGATGTGGGTTCCCCCCCCCCTTTCTGTCTTGATCAGAATTGTAAGTGATACTAAGAAATCTCCTGGGAATTATTTCTGCATGCAATGATTCACAGTTCTCTAATCCTTTTTATTTTCGACTTCACATGCTCAAAATTTAAATTAGAACATAGGCGTAAAGTTCTGATTGCAGACATTGATGGAGGTAGAGAAGGGTGTAGACAACAATGTCAAACTTGCAAAAGGCCACTGATTACTTTTTGAGTCCAAATCCTCTTAGCCTTTTACATTGATGAATCTAAAGGAAGTTAAAAAAAATACTCAGGTTTTGCTCCTTAGTTTAAATGTGCGATTTCACGTAATTTCTACTACAAGACGTTTTGAAATCTTCTTATTACTTAGTACAGTGGAGCATTTACTTTTGTTGCCAACAGTCTTCAAATTGCAGCTCTAATCTGCCTTAACTATCTGGATGAATTGCCCTAATCCAGTGCTCACAATGCTGTGGTTAAGGAGTCAGCGCTGTTTGATTGGATCCACTGGCTGCTGGGAATGTGGGAGGTTCTGCCCTTTTGCATTCTCCTTAGCCTTTTAATCTTCCAGCCAAATGTTCACATTCAACAATTTTGTTTAGCTGGCGATCGGAACATTTCAGGATCTCAAAGGCTGCTGTCATGGCAACCAAGATTAGTGCGAGGTGTCGGTTCTCCGGTTTTTGTGTTCTTTTCGCTTCCCAGTCACAGAGGGAAGTGGTTGAGGAATGGAAGGGCTAAATTATTCACGCACATGCAACGCATCTTCAGGCAGAGCAGGATAAATGGAATCATATGAATTCCATAAATGAAGAGCAAACGTGTCACGGTGGGGGCCGAGGTGGGGGAGGGAAGAGAGAACACTGCCCCGCAGAGTGCACCAACCTCAGCCACTAGTGTTGGCCCAGAGATCTTCTTCGGATGCTTTCCAGGGGCCTGGAACCCACAGTGTTGGCTACTCTTGTCAAGCTGGGGTGTTGGCTTGAGATCTCAAACATCACTCCTTAAGCACCGTCCTCTCTATCCCCCAAACGACTTAGTAATACGTCCATCCTTGGCTCCCAGAGATGGCAACTCTTGGGCATGAATAATAATACCATGTAGGGAAGCAAACCTAATTCCACTAACTACTGGTTATGTCAAATTGGGCTTGGCTTTAGAAAATACTTCTCATGGCAGAAAGATGCCTATTTAGAAAGCAAAAACTTAGTAGGCCCACTTGACTTGGAAAAAAAAATGCTTCATATCTGAAGTTTTTTTGTTTTTAAAAGTTCACCATTGCTTGAAGAACCGGGTTACTGAAGAGCAAGTGCCTCCAGAGTA